AAGCATTTTTTAAAAAGCATACAGACATTTATATTTGACTCTCTTCATTTGTGCTGTTTAAGTTTTAACATCATATATTTCATTTCATAAAATTGTTGAACTGAACGTAAATGTTACGAAGTTAAACTAATGTTTGAACAAGCCATCTAAATAAACTGGACATTTATCACATTTTTCTTATATTCATCTCTGTTCTGATAAATAAAAAACACTCTTGACCATCTGAGATTTTTAAATACAAAACGTGTGAATGCTGTATTGTATTATACATAACGTTGGAAAATTTGAACAAATAAGCGTGGATTTTTAATTTAGCGCATGAGGTAGATCAGCAAGCTTGTGTGGTCATGTTTTCTGCTTATTATCAATGAAAGTATGAGAGGAAAAATAATATAGAAAAATGAAAGACTTTTTCATATAAATATGAATTTCTTTTCTTTCTTTTTAACCAACAGTGTTGCCGTTGATTTCTTAGAGAGACAATTCAATTAATTCCTTTCCAAATGTAACTCCTCCTTAGGTTCAAGTTCATATTGACAGAAAATCTCACCCGAGACCTCATTTTAACTTTCATAAATATCACTAATTTTAATTTTGTGAATCAATTATATTTTGACGACAGATTTTGCAAAGTTACAAAAAAGTGAAGCTGCTTTTCTCCTTCATATCGTGTGTACTATGAAATCTCTAATTTTCGTTGGGGTTTAATTTTCGTTGTTTTCGAGGTAGGGTGAGACCCACGAATTCATACCCACCACGAAGTGTAAAATTTCATATGTACAACTACTAAAATTTCTTCATCCACTAAATCAAATCCCCACGAACCAATATTTTTTCCTCGAACCACGAAAATTTGACCCCACGAAAATATGTGACTTCACAGTACATTTCATAAAACTACCATTCATCAAACGATACAAATCAGGAACAGGGCAAACGCGATTCTCTCTCAAGAAGAAAGGAAATTACACTACAACTCTACATTTGATTGTTTGACTGACTTTTCTTTGTTTTTTGCTTGAGGTCTCTATTGTGTTGTTTGAAAATTGTTTTTATATGACACGTAAACACTAATACCGGTACGTGTAAGTAACTTTAATTTGGAGTTTTATTCAGGATAGTTAAGTACTTTAGTAGTGAGGGATTAATATCATGCCAAGATCAAGCTCTTTCGAATGTTTTAGTTTCCCAAACACAGTAAAAATAAGTACCGATGTCCAACACTACTGCTGTTTTACTAACTTTGAAAATAATCTCACAAATTAAGCAAAAGTTAATAATGAAATTGCTGTTTGATTTCAAAGATATTCCTCCACAAAGATAAAATGCGAGGCACATAGCTATTTTTATCATCCAAATCATCAAGTAGGTTTCAGAAAATTAATAGGGCAAAACCGAGGGATAGGGACTCCATTCTTTGTAATTTAGTCCATCAAATTACTTTTATTCATTATTGAAGTGTATAGGGTTGACAGATCAAGTCGGGAGGTCGATAGAACCTGGTTTATATCACTCAAAGAACGATTGTATCAGTCAATTCATGCTAATTGTTACTCTAAACATTAATTTCTAAAGTGACCGGATCCGCAGTTAAAAGTACGGTTTCTATTTCTTAAATCCCAACGGACGTCTATCGTTGTATAGGAGTGTTTTTTTTTCTCTAAAAAGCAATCTTGTTGATAACCCCTGTACTTAGTGGATGATACTTATTCTCTTATAATTACAGTTACACATTCCTGTTTGAAACAATTTTTGTTCAAAGATCCATCTAATAATCTTCATTTTGCTCCGAAATTGTTCAATACTGTGCTAAAAAAATGTGTGTTTTAAATTTTGACTAGTATGAAATATTACGAAATATTACTTCAGAATTTAATCTAGACTACATTGATAATGTTCTGGTTCACCAATTTTTTTTATTTTAATAAATAAAAATGATCGATAGAATTATATGAAATAAGTTTGAGAATATTTCGTTCATGAGATTTGATGAACATTTGTGGACGTAACAATATTATATGAGAAGAATTAAGGGCAATGTTAAAGGTATTCATTACGACACTACAGATATAGAATATATCTCAAAGAACACAACAATATACAGTCTATTCGAAATATCCATGTTTTTCGAGAAATCGAGACTCGAGATACTAAAGTTCAATTGTAATCATATATTTCTTATTAAAATCAAAGAAACATCAGAATACGAACTAGATGTTTTAAAGAAACTATCTGAATTTTTTTCTCTTAATTATCTTCATCGCAAGGAATGGCAATACTATTAATTTTCTTCTTTCACTGATATATTGATCTGGAAAATAAAATCAAAAGAAACAAATACTTAATCACGTTAATGATACGTACTGAAAAGGGTTGCATAAAAATTTTCACTGTATGTTTTAATATACTGTTTTCTTTTACCAAATAATACGAGGGACCGTCCTTTGCTTCATTTTCTCTATAGCATTTAAAAATGAAACCGATTGATTTTTGGTACTCAAAAAGGGCGAGATTATCCATCACGAAATGTTCTTTTTCTTATTATTTGAATGATCCTATTCAGATGGTTATTGTACTCTTGGGAGCCATTTTCATTAGAAAGAATATCAAGTTCTTTGCATATTACTCAAAGTTGTTAATATTTTCCGTTTCTTTATGAATCAGACTAACAGGCACGCGATCAGAAAAAAGACTTAATAAGGCTTTGGATATTAAACAGACTTTTTCTCCTTTCACTGAAATCATGATATACCTAACGTTTCTTTATTTTACAAATCATTTCTAAAATAAAGTATCGGAACTGATGACAATATTCAATGCTTTGAAGTCTTTTTGGCGAGGAACATAATTTGAGATTCCACCAATAAGATTTCATTTGGAGAAACATAAAACGACCATTGTTGAAGATGGTCCTTTTATCAGTTCCAATGTGTATAGGAAAGAGAATAATGGAAAGTAATGTGCACATGTAACCCAAATGCTAAAGAAAAAAATTGAAGTATCAATGTTTATTATAGGAAGGACCAAATATGTGTCCTATCGACAAATGAATTAAAAGGTGTTGAATGGCACCTTGTAAAAAAAATCTGTAAGGAATTTCGGCGACACGATGTATTTCTGGATAAGAGATGTTTATCAGTTTTACATACAGACAGTCCCATCGATATAATACCGTTTTTCAAAAGATTGTATAATTAGGTACTCTTAAAAGAAATTGTTTGTTTCTTTAAAAGGAAAACATTTCAAACTTCAAATAGCAGCAGCATATGAGGATTTTACACATAGACCTGATGGAAAAAGTACAGTTTTTTCCTACTGATATTAAATATTTCATTTTATAATTTTATTATTAATTGATAATATTATTTATTGGTTATAGAAAAAGTTTCTTGCGATAAATGTTACCAATAATACTAAGGTACAACAAGTGAGCGAACTTTTGTAGACTTCAAGTTTTCGGAAATTTTTTTTATTTCATTTATTTTTTTATTTATCGTATTTCTATTTATTGGTTAAAGCCAATTGAGTCACGTGATATAGCATATTTCATCATGGTATGAAGTAATGGAGAGATCTGAAAATACTACAGAATTAAACCATTCCATCCAGTTGACTGTTTGATAGCTAGAATCGTTTTCCCAGGCCTTTCAGTGAATATTCATTCGACACGTTTCATCTCATCCTTTTAAAAAGTTGCAAATGACGCAAAGCTTTCTTGTGAAATTTTATTTTGAAACTTTATTTTGAGAATGTTTCATATTTTTAGCCATCTTAAGAAATATGTTTTTTAGCCATAAGAAAAAATATGCATAAAGGGAATACATGGCATGGCAGACGTCTTGAATTGATTTAGAGCTTAAATCTTGTAACGTGTACGCCTGGTATATCTAATATCACTCTTGCAGTATTGAATATCTGTGTGCTGGTATTAGACAAAAAATCTGCCTCATTTAGCAATTTATAGGAGCGAAATTCCTTTCAGCGTCCCTGTTGATTGAGAGTCGTTACAAGACCAAAATTTGATCAGGGATTGATTTTGACGCTGTGTACACCTTCTTATACAAATATTGCATTTGCAATTTCCGAAGTTGATATTAAAATATATGGTTTTAATACCCATCCATAGTCATGAAACCTTAAAATTGCAAATTTGATGTAAAATCCAATCTGCAAAGAAATATTAATATGCTTAAAATTTATGAATTTCACAACCTGTCAATATTGCAGTTTTGTGCACTAATCTAATTTTGACATATTTTATGTGCCATTTTTGTGATTTAAAAAAATCGTTAAATTAAAAATTAAAAGGATACAGTATGTAAACGCAGGCTGCATGAATTTTAGAGCATAATTTGAAATTGCAAGATATAAAGCTTTCATATACATTGCAATATTATAAAAACTTTAATTTACTTTTTAAAAACTAAAATACTATAGTTTACTATTATTGTATTTAAGTTCGTAAGAGGTATAAGAAAATGAAAATTAAGGACCTTTTAAAGAATGTTTTATCTTTTAAATTAGATGAGTATCTCGACAATATAAAAGATACATTTTTTCAACAAAGGTTATTGCAATATCACTGAAATTTATTGAACAGGGCATGCTTTTTCCCTATATACACCTGATCCCAGGTCAGAGGGTCATTGTTTTATGTCTTCGTATTATGCCCACATATCTATATCGTTTATACAAGAAATATATAGAGATAACGAAACGTATTCAAACTCAAAAATCCATAAAACAAAACAAAATAGAAAAAGAGCAAACAGGGACCTCCAAAACATCAAAGTTGGGATCAGGAGCCATGGTGGAGTGAGCATCCCCTGCCGACCGGTCACACCCGCTTTGTGCTCCTTGTATATCTTTTAAGATCGCTTACTGTACCATTTTTACAGTACTTTTAGAGAATTCTGAAGATAAAACAAATACAAGCTGCATTTATTATGAGGCTGTTCCCCATCCGTGTTCTAATAATGGTATTCGACGTATACTTCTAGGTTACAGTCCATGCTACCTGTTTGACGTTAATGGCGATGACGATAGACAGATACCAAGCTATCGTGTATCCTATACAATCTATGAACTGGAGAAACACTCGGGCTTCAACTTTCGTATGTCTGGGAGTGTGGAGTGGTAAGATAATTAATTGACTAATGATTAACTCCAATCTCTGTCAAAACTCGAAGTTTTAAAGAGAAGAGACGTATTTACAAATTTTAGACTTTGCAAGATTTAATTAAAAAAGGGTTTATTTTATTGGGGAAGATATTTTGGTGGTACATATATGAATATTTATGAAGTGGTAAGATAGTTAATTAATTGGCTAATAATTAACTCCAATCACTGTCAAAACTCGACCAAGGTTTTGAAAGAGAAGAGACGTTGTCTTTACGAATCTTAGACGTTGCAAAATTTAATTGAAGAAAGTTTTATTGACTTCAGAAAGATATTTTAGAGGTTCATATTTAAATATTTACAAACATTATAATAAAATTTTACTTTTCAAATCATTTTATTTTTATATGATAAATTTTTGTCACAAGCTCAAATAGCAAACAATAATTAATTTTTTTTATACTTTAAATTATCCGTTATCTTTACCTTTAATTTATATTTTCAGGTCATTTTATTTTTTATTATAATTTTTGGCAAGCCCAAATATCGAACAATAATAATAATGTTTTTTTTTTATTTTAAAGTATCCATCATCCTGTCCCTGCCGTTTGCCATTTTTCACAAGGAAATGCCAGATAGAGAAAATGTCACAATATGTGGGGCAGATTGGCCAAACACGACCATTGACAAAGGAGCTACGCTTGCAGTCGTTATGACGTCATACGTTATTCCACTTGCGGCAATCATTGCATGTTATTCAAGAATATTGCTTCATCTATGGAAAGGCGGATCTAACGGGAGTTATAGACAGGCGGTGAGTAGTAGTCAAATTTAATTCAATTTAATTTTTGAAAAATGCATTATCTCTTACTTACATCACTGTTGTTTCTAGTAAGAAACTACAACCAAAACCAAACGAATATATTGAATTGCAAAAATACATAATTTCATTTTCAAATGGAATGTTTCTCTGGGGATTTCACTTCTCTTTCAGTTTGGTCTCAATAAATATTTTTTAAAAAGGCGGAATTAGAAAAAAAACACGGAGTAGGAGTTTTGATTGAAAAAAAAATTTCACAACTGCGCTTTAAATTCTTCTTGAGGTTAAAACATTATTGCATCACATCCCAAAAACAAATGTAAATTTTCAAAGATAAAAGAGTGCAGAGAAACTTAACATTAAAACCTAATTTCAGTATGAACTTAACAATGTAGAATCAGATTCACCAGACATCAATAACAATATTTTTGTTGCTCATTTTTGATCCTACGATATATTTTATATCTTTAACAAGAAAAAAAATATCATAGCAACACAAACGCTATCGTGGATGTACTACATGTATGAGTAATGAATGCCATAACGAAGTAGGAGTTTTGATTGAAAAAAAAATTTCACAACTGCGCTTTAAATTCTTCTTGAGGTTAAAACATTATTGCATCACATCCCAAAAACAAATGTAAATTTTCAAAGATAAAAGAGTTCAGAGAAACTGAAAACCTAATTTCAGTATGAACTTAACAATGTAGAAAAAAAATATCATAGCAACACAAACGCTATCGTGGATGTACTACATGTATGAGTAATGAATGCCATAACATGATCAGTGTCATAACATGATCAGCAGCTAAAAAAGGGCATTGTACTTTATAAAATGACTATTAATAAAGTACAATACACATTTTTTAGCATCTGATCATGTTATAGAAAATCATTTTGAAAGGAACATGACAAACAAACATGTTTTGAAAAAAATAAAAAACATTGAATATTTTTAAAGAAAAGTTTTGGTAGAAACGTTTGACGTAAGAATGACGTCATGTTCTCTTAGACAAGAAGCAGGTGTCTGTTACTTGATTAACGTAAAAAAAACAAATAATTCAATCTGTAGAAATCCTTTTTTCCCTGTTAAGAACATCGTTAATGACATTATCCGCCAATAACCCTGAGTTCCTGTCGTCGATCTCTACGCAATGGCGGGCTTCCGTTGCTTTGTTAAAATTGATAAATGGAGATACACGACATGACGTATTGGAAGTAAAATCTAAATATCTCTCGGTCTGGTGTGAACAATTCGGAGATTATTGATTAGGAAATGGACACCTTCCGTTGTTGATTCTATATGAAGATCTTTTTGTGGATCCTTGTAAATCACAAATGAAACTGATTTCAAGTTTGAGACATCTTTGACTCTGAAGGATAATTGTTTTGGTTTTTGATTTCACTAATGGTAAAATGTTTCTTAGACATTTTTTTTTCTTCAATTCTCGCCAATTTAAAATATATCGTCAAAATTATTATTTAACTATATTCACGTTCCATCATTACATAAAGTTTAATACGTCAAATAAATACTTTGAAAAACAATATTTACAAAATACCATTGCTACCCCCCGATATTGAAAATGTGTCTTTATATCTAGTAAGTCGCCAAGCCTAGCTTAAGGATTAATAAACACACATTTCGTATGTTTGACAAAAATTACATTTTTTCTGTGGTTATAAAATAAATAGTAAATCTGTGCTTAAAGAACGAATTAAATTTTACCTCTAGAAAAAATAATTCATTGCATTCAATAAACATTGTACATATTGTATTATATACTCTGATATCAATTTTATTTGTAATATGTAATGCACATATATATACCAATGTGTCCTATAAAACATTGAATACATGTATGTAGAGATAACGAAAAGTATTCAAGCTCAAAACTCCATTAAAACAATACAACTCAGGAGCAGAGAAAGCAAATGAACCACATAAGTAGGACCAGGTACCATGAAGGATTGAGCATTCCCTGCCGACCGGTATCACCCTCCATATACTTCTAGTCATGATCGGAAAATATAATTGAAGAATGTTAACAATTTAGTGTGTAGAAATGATCTTAACAATAATTATGAAAAACGTCAGTCAGCATTTGACCCAATGATGGATTGTATTTGCTGACGAAGTCAATGTATCGACTATAGAATTTACGAAATCATGACTTTAAACGAAGACTGTTGATATTTTAATTTCATCAGCTTGTTTGTCAATAACTTATCTTGTTTTATAAATTGTTTAAACGTATAGCATGCTCTTGCACATCGATCGAATCAACTGAAATACAAAAACCACATATACAAGTGATATAGGTATACATGTATTGAAGCAAAATAAAGGGAAATTCCGATTTTTAAATATTCAAGTAATCACGTCAATCATAAATTATTCTTAACGTCTTCTTCTGTTTAACACAGAGAGAATTAACTACAAAATCGCTTTTTTCAAAGTTTTTTTCAGGGAAAAAAAGTCTATGTTTAAAATCATGTCATTTTCTGTTTTCACACCAGAATGCCAATGGAAGTGTTCCCTTACGAAGTGCAGGGCAATTGAGGAGGAAAAAGCGTGTGACCCGGATGGTAGCCATTGTTATTCTTCTGTTCGCCTGGTGTTGGCTGCCAATACAATTCTTCACATTGTGGTATAAATTTGATCCAAACTTCCCCCAAATCCCCGCTTTATTAAAATTCAAAATATTTGCTCATACGCTGTCATATGCTAACTCCTGTGTGAACCCCTTTGTATATGCGTTCATGAACGAGGGTGTTCGAAAGGCCTTCCAGAAGAAGTTTCCATATGCCAGTAAATATTGCCAATGTACAAAATCAAACAAGGAAAACAATCCGGAAACGAGTACAATGATAGATAAAGCTGTGATGACGACGCGCGGAGGCGGAGAAAGTATGGTTACTACGCATTGTTCATTGTGATTCACGTGTTTGTGTTACGATAAAAAAAACAATTGACAAAAGATAAGTAGATAATAATCAAATCTGTTTTGAGACTTAACGAGTGGAAGAAACAGTCTGGCTACCACGCATTGATCATTGTGATAAACTTGTATCTTGTACAATTAAACGTTGGTCAAAGCCTTAGACATAGCAATCATAGGGATTCAAGGAGAAGCAGGGAGTAGTTTGGCTACCACGCATTGTTTTCATGATCTGCGTATTACTATTACAACAAACATAGACCGACGTTTATAATTAAGAAGAATGATAGTCATGTGATTTTAAGAGGGGGATTTCAAAATAGTCCGATGGACTAGCCACAAAGAGTTTTCATTATCATTAGCCAAATCAACTTCACATACAAAGAAAATTCTAATTAGTTTATTTTCAATAATGGGATAACCATAGTTCTAGTGTAATGCTTTAATTGTCTTTATATGTCTTCGTCTTTGGCTCTTTAAACCTGAAAAATATAATTTAACCATTCGATGTCACGTAAAAATATCAGCTAATCTGTTTTATCATAAAAACTAAGTTTTTTTTATTTAACTAAATGTATATGTATTTTGTCATTTTTGATGGTAGGAGCTATTGTCTAATTATTATGCGTTGAAAAATAATGTATATGGACATATATACGTATTATTTCAAGAATAATGCGAAATCTACGCAAATGATTTGTTTCCTATCAACTATAAAAAGGAAATTATCTGACACTCATTACGTTTATTGAATCTTAAATAATCGATGAAAACATGAATTTTTGTTTGTCTTCTTTGATTGAGACCTTTCAAGCTGATGACGGCTCTACTCTAAAGACCAGCAACATTTGAACCCTGTGTAAAAAAAAACTTAATATTCTTTCAGATTATAATTAAGAACTTTCTAATAATAATGTTATAAAGTTGTTTATGATCAAATATTTATTACAAAAATTGAGCAAGAAAAATCATTCATTAGGTTGGGGTCTTATTTTAAGTTTGGAAGACTTACTTCAAGAAAAAGAAATTTAAAGCTCGCCAATACTTCTCTCTCTCTTTCTCTCTCTCTCGCAATAAAAATATCAAGATAGAACTTTACAAGCAATTTATAACAGGTCCCTACTAGTAAATTGCTTGCTATAGTTCTACAGGACGCTTTAAGTGAAATAAGGCGATGAATTTTTTAACTGTTCAGAATTTTATTAAATATTTCATGTCTTAAACTAAAGATATTTATAGTGTATCTGATTTGAACAAGTGTTTCATTTTATGCTTTGTGCTGTACTAGCTTTTGTTGTCAAAAAATCGCTGCACATTTTGTCCGAATATAACGTTAACGTTCCATGTTGTTGATGTACTTAAAATTCTATTTCCATTGATCTGTTTAGAAATAAAAGAATACATTAACTTCATATTTTCTTTTTTTTTTTTATTCATTGTCAAGGTCTTTGGGTATCAAGAATATGAGAGATAATATAAATTATGTTTGAATTTGCTTAGTCGAATGTTTTATAAAATTGATTTGGTGAATGAATTTGTTTTTCGATGGTCAACAGTCCACAGATTCATGTCTTGGATGAAAAAAAGCAACAAATAACCAGAACAATTAGAGCATTAGTTTATTTAAACAAAAGGTTGAAAGCAAACACTCACAAATCTTTTATGAAGGATGTAGATTATGAACAGCAATTGATCTCAAACTTCAAACAATAAAACTATAGGAACAGGGCGAAAATTGGGACCCTCTAAAAATTCAACAGGTCAAATCAGGTGCCAATGAGAAGTACCGTATATACTCGCCTATAAGTCGATTTTTTGGGAGTTAATCTCTGGTCTAAAACTCTTTGACCTATAGGCGAGCTATTAAAAGTAAGGTTTTATATGAGGTCAGTCCATCTGATATGCAAGCTTATTAAATACAATCGACTTATAGGCGGACCGACTTATAGGCAAGTATATACGGTAAGTATTCTCTGTTGATCGGTCACACCCATCTTGCGCCTGAGCTAATGTACTAATCAAGAGTATAGAACATATTTTTTTAAAAACAGAAGTTTCATGAGGTAAAATTCTTTCGAAAGTGCACTACTCCATTAGCTAATGTTCTATTTTAAAATGTTTAATTCTGAAATATTACACAGACTAGTGTTGAGGAAAAATTGGTCTGGACAGTTGTTTACAAAAAAAGAAAAAAATAATTTCAAAACCTCTTACAAAAACTCTGAAGTGCAGGAGGAACGAGAAAAATATATCAGAGATTTGTGTCAATACATAGGTAGTTTTTGAATGGTATAGACTTTTAGTCGGACAATGGACGGTCTGTGAAGAAACAGCTGATGTATAACAATGTTTTCAATACTTAATTAAAATCTTTGCTTTGAGTTAAGGCAACTCAAACATTTGTTAGCAGATTTGAGGTATCAATATTCATGGATACGTTTTTTAAATGGGTATTACGCTAATGGACTTTTACTAGAAGTACTGACTTTTACGGTTGACTGTTTACTTGGAAATTTAAACCTATGACATCTACGGAGGTACAGGATGTAAAATGGATCAGAAAACCTTTCTAGTGGTTATAGTAATGATGTTCGGGGCACTTATACGTGAAGGCCGAGAGTTAAGGGTAGGATGGTTGTCGTTGTCTTCAAGGACAACTGATCTGTAATTTGAAATAACCCATTATTTATGTTGAATTAAATGTTAGGCTAAATATTTATTTCGTAAAAGAGTTTCTGTACACTGTCTTAGTGTAAAAGTGAGCCGTCAACTGTAAAAGTCTGCGTTTCTCGTAAAAGTCCACTAATCGTGTAATCAATGGAGAGGCGGGATATTTTGAAATAAAAATCTTGATGTTGTTTTAACGTCACATTCTGTTACGCGTACTTCGTGATGACCACACTTACTGATTTCAGAATCAAGAAATAAAATGTTTTCATATTTAAAAACGTGTTTATCTAAAAGCTTGTAAAAATAACTTGCTAATGATGGACATCAATTACTGTAAACCAACAGTGAAAAATATTCGCGTGTTTCGCGACTTTCTTCAAGTCTCGAATATTAGTCGCCGCGAACCATTTATTTTGCATCGTTTTTCTGGAAAATGTTTCCTTATTCGTGAACATTATTCGTCGAGGATTGATTTCAAACTGACAAATCGCAAATAAAATACAACGCAAATAATAGTTGGTTTACAGTATGTATGACAGACCTTCGTATTAGAAGTTGCATAAAAGTCGAAAGCAGATTGCTTGATCTGTTAATTATTGTTTGTTAACTTCCCTTTCAGAACGTTCACCATGCCTATAGACACCGTCAACTGTCTGTTGACAATGTAGGTTGTAAATTCTGGGAAGGTTTGTCCAGTTAGCAGTTAGGGATGTCTCAATATACTTATTAAATGGGCTTAGTAACTAAATGGTAAGACGATTGTTATGTGATCAGGATGCCTGGGGGTGCGTATGTCGTTAGCTGCGTCTGTGCTAAACCTACTTATAAAATGTAGGTATAGCTCGTGGATATAGACCTAGAAGTGAAAAAAAAACTTCAGATGATACCTTTAAACCCAGGTCCCGTGTCGCAATAGATGTTGACACGCTAAGAGTCCTCATTGCTCAAAGGTTCTAGGTGTCGAGTAGAGGCCTACATATGAAGCTCTTCATTGGCATATTGTCACGTCTCTATATGAGTGCATAGGCTTTATGACTGGGATGTAAAACAAATTACAATTATTCAATCATTCAATCCATGGACTGATGTCAAGATTCTATGGTAGGATTCGATCCCATAAATAGGGATTCAACTCATTTAGTTCTATGCAATGGAATCCCCTTGCCATTGCGGAGATTTCATTAAGAGAAATAACATGACGTGTTATAACGCATAAACTCGATGATGAATTGACATCATAAAGTATAGTTATGATTGATATCTGTCTAAGCAGGAAAATATTTCAAATTCAATTATTGCTGAGTGTAAGAATATGCACTGACTTGTCGACGATCACATTAAACTCCCCAGACAAATCAATCAAGCTGAAAGACAAAAGAATCCATTTAATAACTTTTCTTAATAGCTGCTAACTTCACTGACCTTTCCATTCCATATATCACATCTTGAACAGAATCCAGCAAATTGCTTTCATAATCGATTACTTTGATATTTTGGACAATATTCAAATTTGTATTGTTCAATATCCCGTCACAGATTTGAGTCTGGTAATTAAAAAAACAACGCTTCAAAAGAAAACATACGTATCTTATGGTAACAAAGCTTTGACAGCTTATTTTTGAAAACAAATAGTTAAATCAAATGCTATTTTTCATTATGAATGGTTTCACAATGAATTGAATACAGACTGGTCGCCTGTTTGACGTAGTGGTAAGAACGACTGCTCAAGAGTCGCGAAGTATGGAGTTGATCCTTAACTCGCGGGTTCGAACCCCACTATGAGACACGTGGAGAACGGTTCTGCTCTTTGCTCAACGGCCCTGAGTGCCGAATATAGGACAAAATTTGCAACTCTCCACCGATCAATGGTGGCAATTCCAAATCAGTGAAAAATTCTCAAAATGGACGTTAAACAACAAACAAACATTTATCCGTTTGACAAATTTAAAGCTGTATTATTCTAGATCTATTCATATGTAGCATACTTATGATGGAACTACTTTTAAAAACTTCATTTAGATTTGAATTATTAATGTTAATGAATATTAACGACTTTTTTTTTATTAACCAGGGAAAATCACTCTCTAAATTTAAACTTTTGTTACACATAATTATATTTCTAACAGGCATAACATCGATTTTACCACGACAACTCTCGTAAAAAGGTGAATAAAGATATTCAAAGGAAAAGGTTTTTAAATCTTTTATTGCATGTCAAAATTTCTTTACACAGGACAGTTAACATTGACAAGCAAACATAATTACCACAGTCTTGCAAATATAATTTTTTTTAAATTAGAAACATGTAGCAATATAATAAATCAAGCTGAATAATAATACAATATAAACAGTAATAGAGGAAAATCACAAATGGATGATTTCAGCCAAGTGTATATATTTTCTAAAGGAACAAGTTAACACAACTGAAATTTACTTCGATTCACTTTAGGATCAAAACAAGCAATTTTTATTTTCCCTAGAGACTTAAGTGCAGATGACGTTTAATAAAAGATGAGAATAGCTCTATTTCCTTTCAATATTTTTTCTTTCTTCATTCTTGTTCTCTTGTTAATTGAGATTGTCAAAATGAAATATCCTTTCCTTTAATGTAGCCTTTCGAAAAGTGTATACATACATGTGACTGTTTTATTAAAGATGCATCAGAAATGGTATAAAATGCAACTAAAAATTCTTTTTCTTGGATAAATACACACTATAATTGAAATGTGTTCAAAGAATTTTTTTGAGATGATTTGTTAACATCTATCTTGAATTGACTTTGACAATGGAAATGATTGGATACTTTTCTAAAGTAGTAATCTGCAGAAAAAAATAAATACCTGAATGATTAGAAGACAAGAGCAAGAGTAGAAAGAGGAAGTCTCTGATAAGGTTCGAATTAATTGTAATAATTATAGTAAAAAGATTTTTTTTAAGAAGGCTAGGTGGTCAACAGATTATTTTTTTATTAACCTCCAGATATAACTTAAATTTTGGGATATGATATCTTAAGCTGTCAACTGTCATTTGGTATAGAAAAATTTCATAAATTTTAATTTTAAAATTCGATCATTTTATTATATCTTTATATGGAGCTCTTCTTCTAAAGGAGATTAAAGTAGTCTAAAAATGGCCACGACCACCCAGCTTCTGTAAGTGAACCTTACAGTCCTAGTCAGTACACGTAGTTGTGGTCAAATTAAATACGGTTTACATGTACTTGATGTACGTAAATGTACACACAAACAAGATAAAATTTTAACTTCTTTAAAAACTTCGAATTCCAGACACTATGTGAATGATTAATTTTGTTATACTTTTTCTTCCTCTTATCTATAAAAACAATTCGTATACATTTTTTTTTAATTTAATACGAATAAAAAAAACCGATTTTTTAGTTCTGTGGTGCTACAGATGAAATCTTTATTCTATCCAAAAAGAATATTAGACAGATATATATGTAATTAAAATAAAAAATTTATAAATAAATGCCAAAAATTTAAAACAAATACATAATTTAGACTGATGGAAACTGAACTGAAAATATAAGCAATCTCTTTGGAGTTATTTTCCACGTATGACATCAAAGACATTTAAGCTGCAAAACAACTTTATAGGGTATTGGTACTCTATAACTATACCTACAAACAGGCATTTTACAATATGTAATAAACTATTATTTTAAAAACTTAAAAACATACTTTTTGTATTTCAGACAGAGTAAGGAGAGCAAAACCCTTTCCGTTTAAATTCAAAAAGACTAAAATATCCCGATCTTTTTATTCTAAAATTGCTGCTCAGGTTAGAATTGTATCTTCTCTAGCAGATGAAAATGTTTCCGTAAAAATAATTACTACTTTCTTCGCCTTCAAAATTTTTTTTTCAACATTACTTAAGTTGAATAAGGGTTTTATTTTTTTTTCTGATGCTTAACGGGTCGAATTTTTGGTTCACTTTTGAATTTCCTTTGTTGTTCAGTCAGACTATTGCTTTGACGTCCAGTGTAATTTAATTTCTTTGATGTCTTAATTGATTTTCTGTAAGACTTTTCAAGCTATCCATTTCTTGTGTCTCTGGTGTCCTTTAACGTCTTCCTTTGATTTTTAATTCCTCTTCCATAATGATTCTGTACTCTGTTTAATTCTTGTCTAGTCATCATGTTTTTTTTTAAAGCATGAATCTGTCATTAATTTCTCTTTCTTTTGTGTGTATGTGTAAACAATTTCTCTTCTCGTCTCCGATGTATCGTGGAAATTTCAAATCACCGACGACCAGTACCATTATGATCCTCTATTCTGATTTTTGAAAACAGGTGGATAGGATTACATTTTCAGTATTTGGTCTCAGTTAAAATATAACAAACAGACATGAATGCCATTCTTTTCCACAAACATGAAATAATGAATATTAGTTACAAACTTGTGTATGAAAATCACATTGTACATGTGTACACATTAAATTCTTTTTTATCCTGCAACCTGCATGAAAAAACTGTATTTAGTCCTCCAAATCATATCCACGAAAAGTATTTTTTTTTTTGCTATATGGCACAGAGTGTCCTACAAGAATCAAGCCCAGGTCTCCTAATCATAATGTAATCATCCTCCCATTACGCAAACGTAACCTGTACCACATTTTCGAGAAATGGTGTTATTCAGTTGTTGAAAAATAACACCTCTAAGGAACTATTAGACCAATGTTTGTGAATTGTTCAGGTTACTGTTGCTGAATTAACTATCTTCGTGAACAATAACGATCATTGGTTCAATGCATTTTTCCTACACAAAATACCAACGATTTTACGACCTAGTAAAGCAATTAAATTCTTGTTTACATATAAAAACGTTGACTTCAACGAATTTTAATGGCTCTCCAATTTGTTTCAAAGTATTGGATTATCAAATGACAAATTTATTCTAGAACTAAACTTCTACTTAGGTTTATTAGTCAGTTATATTATTATAAAGTTAAAGTGACTTTTTCCATGAATCACCAGTTAATATATAATTTTATCACCTCCACCAGCTTGATTTCCTAATATAGTTGATCAGATATTTAGCAGTGTCTGTATAGATGACCTATTTAAAATTCATTTATTCGTATTGACAATAATACAAATGGATTTCATGACATTCCCATCTCCGACAAATTCATCAAATTAATCATTAACCACCATTTGATTGACTTCCTTAATTAGAAACTATCAATTATCTTTCTTCTTCCAGTAACACGTATAGCATAAAGTGTCGGTCACACATAGTTTAAATCATCGATTGTCGGAATTTACTACTGGGTTGTTTGTTATTTACAGGAGAGTAGAACGTGTAAAATTATGCACTCTGTTTAACCTTATGTTACATAAACATTTCGTAGACAATTTAGTGTGTGAATAACAGTTTAACAACCTTAACAATGAGTATGAAAAACTTCAGTCCAGCAAACTTAAGGATACGTTATTTTTGCTGGCAAGATCATGGTATCGACCAAAATACTTACGAAATGATTACTTTTTTATTTTTGTTTAGTCAACTTATTTGGCAATACCTTGCGTCGTTTTAGAAATTATTCATACGTAAAGCATGCTCATTTTTGAAATTCAAGCATCATTTTAATATCAACTTAATAGTTCCTATGTATACAATTAGAATGTTTTTAACAAAAAATTTTGCAAATGACCAATGGCAAGGAAAGTCAATTAAATATTAATTATTAACATGTTCTTTTATTGAAAGAGAAGCTGTCTGCGATGTCAAAAAAGCCTGATTTTCAATTTATCTTGGGGAATAGTCGCATGTTGTGTCGAAAAATTGTATGTTTTGATGTTACTGGTCTTAGTAAAACTTTTTGATTTCAAATTCTCTTAAAGTTCCTTAGAGTTTCCATATCTGATATACACCACATACTGTTGTTAATACAGTACGCATTAAGTTTTTCTAACACTGCTATAAATATTTTAGAAAGATGCTTGATAGAACCTCGCTTTTTAATCGCGAGAACTTTATTTTAGCGTAATTACGCGAGACGGTATGCATGCTCGCGAAAATTTCATTCTCGCGTATAATAGAATTCCTTAAGATTATATAGAGCAATGACCACAAATCGTGAAGATTTTGTCTCGCGAAAAAGAGTCCATGACTGTCTCGCGAAAATAAGTGCTCTACAGTATACATGTAATGGTACCCTCTATGTATCTTTGTAAGGATTCTTATGGAGTTTTGGAATCCGGTATAAGTATCATGGTGATTCAAATACATTTTGATTGGCGGGAATATTAAAAATATTCAAAACTGATGTACGGTTTTGAAAAATTTCCTCATCAGAAAGGGAGCTATGACTATGAGTTGTATTACCACTTGAAGCATTAAATCCTAGTCTTACAAAGACAACAATGTTAATTATATAATCGAAATATATATCAATTGTAAAGGGTAATTTTTAGCAATTTTATAACGTCAAGAGAGATAACTTGTACCTGTAATACGAATGAAATTGCGATATTTTAAATTCGTGAAGCAACTACAAAACGAAATATCAGGATACTTTTTATTCACAAACACGCAAATTTAAACAAAAGAGAATACTGGTATTTAAAAAATAATTACAAAAGTTTTATTCACAAAGGTAAATGAAAACTCTGCATGTCACTGGATGCACATGACACTCACACTTAAAAATCTAATATATTGTTTGGAAATAAGTTAATTGATTTGTGTGTGTGTGTGCGCTACATAAATTTAAAAAAACATTCGTTGGAATGCAATCAATTTATTGTTTATCTTGTCACTTTCAGTGGGGTCGAACACAAAAAAATTAAAAGAGATGTAGATTTGAAATATCAAAAGAGAAGAAATTCGAATTTCTAGATAAGTGATGTATGCCTTATGTGGATATTTGTTTGTAAGAGAATTTTTTTCAATTAATTGAGGTACTAGTATTGAAATATATGTATGACATTGGAATTAGAAATATTATCATAAGACCCCTCCTTATTTTAGGTACTGTATTCTTTTTATCATTCCCGTTTTGCACTCCCCCACCATTAACTCCCCCTCCCTAACGACACACACGGCCCGTGGATCCCGTATCCCCTGATCAGGAATGATGTACCTCAGGAATCGGCCGTCCCTGTCCAGCATGTGAATCTTGTTGTGGAGAAAGTCCGTGATGATGATGTGATGCATGCTGTCTGTTGTCAAGGAGGTTGCTTGGAATTCCTCTTTTGATTCTTTATTCCCTGTGTAGGAGAACCTAAAAATCCCGAACTTGTCAACGACTATCATGACTTTTTTATCGTAATCAGCTACACAAATGTCGCCGTTTCCATTCTCCACCACGTAGTTTGTTTTTCCAAACAGAGGCTGGTACTCGGAGTCGTACTGGATTTCCTGTAGCACATCACCGGAACTGCTGTATCTTACGACCTTGGACGCTGTTTGATCTGTTGTCCGGAGACAGACCAGGAAGTCACGTGCCGCGGTACAGGTGATACCGAAAGGTTTCCACTCCCCGGTACTGAACAATGTATCTACTTTACCGTTTATAACCTTCTTCAAAGTCTTGTTCGTTATATCAGAGTACACCACGTGTCCATCATGAAGGGTTAGATACATACCGCCATACGTGATGGTGACAGTATCGTGTAGACGTCCCTGGAGATCAAACAGCTTGAGCTTAAGACTTTCTCCTCCTGTCCATACTCTGTTATCACCGAGGGGAACCATGTCATACAGCCGATTGTTTATCTTGCTAGCTGGGAACTCTGTATCAAAGGAGGACAGAACTGTAGGTACATCTAGAGCTTGGCGTGATGAATAGGTTTGATCTTGTTGCTTTAGATCGTCAATAGGCAGTTTGTGTGATTCTAGTGTCTCTATGTAACCGAAGTAAGATGTTGTATAGCTCTCATTAAACTTCAAGGATTGAAAAAATGCGGGGCGTGTTTCTTCTATAAAGGTTGGCACCTGTAGATTTTCAAGTTCATGCTTTAATTCCATTAAACCGGAGACGTCTTTGGATTTGGCCAGGCTGAAGACTGTTTGTTTCAGGTTTTTCAATTTCTTCAGTATTTCTCCGAAATCTTTTTTCTGCTTCAACAAAACTTCTGCATGCTTTTCTTGTAATTCATCTAGATCACTATGCAATGCCTTCTCTGCTTTATCAATCTGCTGATGCCGCTCTCTAGCATGGGATGAAATGTTATCTTTTGACTGTTTGTAAATATGTGGAAGGGCTGCTGTTCTTTTACTTATGTGATCGAAAATTTTCTCAAATTCTGAGCGCATCGAGTGCAGTCTTTCATTTTCCTTCGCGATAATATCTGATAATGTGTCAACTTTCTCGGATAACTCGCATATATTATGTGTCTTGTGTTTGATTGATACACATAAGACACAAATAGGAATATCGCATGTTTCGCAGAAAGCGCTAAACTGTTGCTGGGGATGTGACAGGCATTCTCCAACATCTGGTCTGTTTTCTTCATGATATTCTGTTACATCGTGACCATTTTTAGGTTTGGTAAGCATGTGAGGTCCCACACATGTACTGCATAATTTAACAGCACATCTTTTGCATTTGAAGTTTACAGGACTTTTACAAATATCGCATTCCAGGTAGTGTTGTCCTTGTCTTAAAATTGAGGATGTCATCTTTACATCTATAACCAAAACCAAAACATTATCAATTATGTGTTTTCAATTTCTTTAAATTTGTAAGGGAGAAAATCTTATTAATAAATAAGATGAAATTTTCACAAAACCGAATAAATGCATGTTTAAAAGAAAATAATTTTGGAACTTGATAATTGTTAAGTTATCAGATTGAGTTTAAAATGATGCATGAAAAATGCAATACATTTAACATGTTTTAAATTCTTTTTTATTCACAAGGATAATACTACTAACGATGTTGTATGGAGGTGAAGGATTTACAATTTTGTCAGCCTAAAATACTAAAATTCTGTTAATGAAGAAAATTATGCACATTTTCCAATTCGGTTTTGAATGTTATTAATACGTATCCTGTGACTTGAGATAAGTATTTTCTCATATTAACTGTTACATGTAACCTATGTCTGATCTCTAAGAACTAAAGTTTTCAACGTTTCTAAGTCCCCACTATCATTATTTTAAAGATTTAAAAAAACAAATATCAATTTACTAGTTGCTTACGATTTTGCCTTTACAATGGTAACCTGTCTAGGCCAAAAAAATTGTAACCAAATATGAAATTACTCTACCGTGACCATTTTTTTAAAAGCATCAATTAAGTGCAAGTTCCATAGGTTTTTCGAGTGTATTTTTGCACCCGGATCGATAGATCCAAGGTGTATATTGTTTTTGTCCTGTCTGTCTGTTTGTTTGTTTGTTTGTCTGCAAACTTTAATCTTCGCCATAACTTTTGAAAGCTGAGAGGTACAGACTTCATATTTGGTAAGCATACTTCACTAATTAGGTTCAACGTTAATGACCTTTTGACCTTGACCGTGGCCTACATGTATATACTAAAAAATTTTATGTCTGCAAACTTTAACCTTCACTATAACTTTTGAATTATGAAAGATAGAGACTTTATATTTGGTATGTATACTCCACTAATAAGGTTCTTTCAAATGACACCAAGGTCAATGACCTGGTGACCTTGACTGTGACATTTATGCTAAAATAGCTTTTTCGTACCTTCGCCATATTTTTAACGATAAGAGATAGAGAATTCATATTTGATGCGCATACGCCACTAATCAAGTTCTTTCAAATGACACCAAGGTCAATGACCTTGACTGTACCTATATGCTAAAATAGCTTTTCCGAATTTTGTTGCCGCCGGGCGCATAGTGTTTCTCAAACACATGTTTTAATTTTATAAATTTCCATGTGTTCTCCATATTTAGTTGTTAACAAAAAACAGGAAAAAAATCTTGATTAAAATTTAGTGTACATGTATGTCTGTACAACAATGTTCAAGGTGAAGTTGACATGGCCCAAGCTGATCGTAGTTAACGAGAGTTTATTTTTCCTTTAATCATGTGTGTTTATTTTACTTAAAATCTTTTAAATACCAAAATACAAACAAAACTTAATTAAATTTATTACAATCATTAGAAATCGCTTGATTTTGTTAACAAACACCACAAAACCATCCTAGAATTTCTCTGGAAATTCACTGGAACCAGAACAGGAAGTACCCATGGACAATGCAGACAAGTAATGTAACTACACATCAACATGACTACTGGGGAGGAGTTTGGATTGTATGTAAGGAGACGTTATGTTTTGTAGGCTTAATATTATTGGCTAAGCACATACAGTTTCTGTAAGCTCCATTGTCATCCACATTTTAACCCTAAAGAGCATGAATGGAAAAAGATAGACAGGAGAGTGAGGCAGTTTTTCCAGCCGCAGAATCTGGCGGAACTAGGGGATCACTTTGTCAACAAATGGATTAACATTCAGCAAAGAAGTTTTCTTTACCTGTGAAAACCCTCTGAGGAGCTGCTGACTTGCTGTTAATTCGTTTGAATGCAGGATAATTGCAGTATTTAACATTGCAATTTTTTAACACTACGGTACTTTAATGTTTCTGCATTTTGTGATAAAGCGCTTAAAAAATGAAATAGAGTGAAAAAAAATTGTTTAACTACTTCTTTATCCTCTATGCGTATTAATTTGCATTGTCAAAATAATTCAATATAAATACAGTGTAAAGCAAAAACTTAATTGACTGGGGACTTAGAAATTTTGATTAGTATATATTAAAAGCAGAGATTATTTTTTAGCACCGCCTTAAAATACCTGGTATGTGTACTCCTGTCAATCTAGTGTATTAAGGTACATCACTGTATGTTAGAACTTGATCGACTTTTACTCATAATACCTGAGCATACCCTGTGCACCTTGTACGACACTCAAGGCCACCTTCAAATTCAGTTTTGATCCTTTGATATTTACAGCACATGGTATAAAGAAGATTTCTATAAAATTTGTAGCTTGCTAATTTATAATACCGGTATGTGTAATATGTATCAATACACTCCTTTCAATGAAAATTAATTGAATAGAAATCAAAATTTTATATAATAAATTTTTCAAACCTCAACAAATAATATGAATATTGATCAGTTTTAATGTGTGTATACACTTCGAATTATGATCAAAAACAACTAAAATTTAATCATTGAGATGAGCCTTTATAAATCAAATTAAAAGCTTTTTAGACTTTAAAATCCTAACACAGGAAAGTTATGACTTTTTGGAATTCCTGTGTGTAAGGATTAGGGGACAAGTAGACTGCATTTGGTCCTCAATGCAGTCACACTTGTACAAAAACGCCCCTCCCTCACATGGAATTTACCATGAACTCTAAAAATCTCTGCCTTTAAATTCTGCCAATATTATTATCTTGTGACTTAGTTTTGTATAAATGTTTTAATAAATCGATGTAAATAAAGGACATTAATATTCATATCTCTCTGAGAAAAAGGATATTCATACCAAAGTTATGCGATTACGAAGCTATAAAACTCAGATATTAAATCACACAAAACTTTTTAATTAAAAAAAAATATAAATCAAATATTTACCACAAACCTGTTTACGACAAGCCCTCCATTTTGACAGATATCACACGGCTAACCCGGCCAACAAGTGTAGCTGATCACGTGTCACTTTAAAATTGGGGACATGCATATGCATGCATATATATGTTTTAGTGCATGTAATTTTCCGCAACTGCAGCCACAAATCAATAGATGCATAATATTAAAATCAATAATCTAAAGTAACTTTTATTGTTTATTGATATCACGGACATCATGCTTAATTAATTCATGTAGATTATAAATAACATGTACCCTTTGATGGCCCTAAATACACTTATTGTGCAACATACGTATACATAGTAATGCGATAAGATACAAAACGCAGCTAAACCCTGAGACGCTTATTTATAGAATTGTCTACTTTTCTTTCATAAACAAGGAAATTTTAATTGTTTTAAATAAAACTTTCAAGGCTACACCGTAAATTTTAGAGATGATATGAAAATGTAAAAACGGGAACTGATTTAAAATTCTTTTCTCCACACGACAATTTGATTGATAAAAAATATGACGAAAGATTTTATATTTAACTCCCTTTGAATGTTCTTATTTTTTTCTTATGGTGTAAAATGCGGAGGATGGAGTCTCCAAAATGGAGGGTCACTCAGAGAATGCAATGATGGAACATCTTGAGTTAGATGATGCAGGAGGTGGAGCATTGCGCTTGGTGTAAATTTAGCACCTGTTTATCAGATCTGACATCTCATTTTCTGATATTCCGTGAGAACATGTGAGAGTGTTACATTATCAAAACAGTTTTTTTTTAAATCCTTTGAATTTGACTTAATGAAATTCAGTTATATCCCCAACCTTATTTTGAGATGACCAGTTGACAGTATCTTATAAAATTTGTGAATAAAGCAAAAAATGCAAAAAGAGAAACAAAGAAACCAGAAGTGTAAAAATAAATGGCCATCACATTTCGACGAAAAGAACAGTTTTGCTAATTATTAAATTTTTCAAGACAACAGAGACTGAATGAAACAAAATAGCAACAAAATTAGACGAAACGATACCCCAGATGACCTTTTGAATTTGAAAAACAACTGAGGGACATGCAGCTTGTGTTTTTGATTTAAATTTTGTTGAATGGTATGAGATGCTAAATGCAACGGAAAATTCTGTCTGATTAATGTTTCACACTGCTATCTTGCAGTAATTTATGACGTCTTAATTGACAATTTTCAAATATGTATCAAATATCTGAAGAGACCAAAGTTAAATGCTTAGGGCTAGATCACCTAAACCTCTAGAGAAAACTTATTTTTAAAAGATACATTAGTCTAAAAAATAATATTTTACCATTTTAATCTTAGTTGAAATTTTTTTTTGATTTTTTTTTTCTATTTGTGGTTTACACATACCCAAGCTTTTGCAAGTTTACAGCAATGTGAAATATACTTTCTTGTAACTTATGATAATTTGCAGATAAGGTGATCTGCGATGTATAATGCCTGATATTATTATCTGCAGTAACATTTTTACGACATACCTCAGTAATCCTAAACTCAGTAATTAATTCTGACAGGCACTTTTTATCACTGATGGGGAGCACTACAAGCAACCCAGTTGAATTCATTTCCTAAGATGATGGAAAGATAAAACAGGCAATTGTATTAAAATTTACAAAGGAGGCTCCATCCCTTGCACTTTTTGACCCTCCATTTGGAGACTCCATCTTCAGCATTTTACTCCAAGCCAATTTCTACATGAACTATAGTAAACTTATATTACGCATAACATATTATATATGATGTCAAAAAAATGGAAACGGTTTAATGAAAATGTGAAATTCCAGATTCTTTTTTGCCCCAAAGACTAAAGATTTGGTATTGAAATACACAGTTGGACTTTAGTATATCAAACACCATTATCACAATGAAAAGTTGAAGTGATTTTGAGATCAAATCCACTTAATCCGTATTATACAGGTAAGTATTGTACTCCCTAAACCTTTAAAATTTCTTCGAGGTTAATTTGATTCGAGATATATTTAATAGGTATTGACTAATGTACATGACCTTGTTTTTGGCATTGTTAATTGTAAGGTGTTTACTCGTTTCTCTAATTTATTATATATGGTAAAAGAACAATTTTTTTTTATAGAAAACGTCATTAAAATGCACAATTATCAATTATGCAATCTATGAAGGAAAGTAGGCAGAGAGTGAGGTGGGGGGGGGTTACTTCTTGCTCTACTAAAGTAAATAATGCCAATCATTTTATTGTCCTCACAGATTTTTGTTCTAAAACTAATATCTAAAAAATGTGCAGTCCTTGTAATTGATGATTTCAACCGTCAATAATTATATGTTAAAAACACTGACAAGATTAAGAGTGTGACCTCCTAAGGTGAAACCACGACGTACCACATCGTACAAATCAGGAGAGATGCTGATGCACTTCCTTGACAATGGGCCTGTTTATAGGAATGCCTATAACTTTCCATTACTCTGCTCTTAATACAAGATCTGCAACAACGGTAAAGGTCGTATATAAAAGTTTTTGAGTACTATTGACTCTTCCTTGAAAGTCCTAAATATCCCATTTCTTGTACGTCAGGTACGTGTCCCCACAATATGTATAAAAAATTCAAACTCCGATTTAACAAGTCATTACAAATTCAATTAAATTTGATAAGAGGCAAAGGGGCCATGTCGCTCTCACCTAAGCCACTGACTAAGAAAAAAAAAACCAAAAATCAGTATACATGTAGTTTAGATGCATAAGTGGTCCCCACCTACCCGTAAAAGGTATGAAATGAACAAAATTGAATCTGTTCTAACTAAGCATGCTTACATATTTTTTGGACTCACTGACTTTTTTCTACGTGTTTGAACCCAGGGGTCATCATTTGTACAAAATTTGAATATACACATTAGGATGCTTCCATATAAGTATGGCTTTGCTGTTCTTTTTGATTTTTTTCCTTTATATTCAAGTATGAATTTTTCTTCGACCATTCTGGCACATCCTATCCCCGGGGGACATGACTTTAACAAATTTGAATCTACAGCACACGAGATTGCTTTCATATAAATATGACCAATCATTGTTGCAATTGCTGTTCTTGAGAAAATGATTTTTGAAGATTTCCCCCATACATTCTTATATAAAACTTTGACTGTAGATTAATTATTGCGGCCCCATCCTATCCCAGGGGGTCATGATTTGGACAAACTTTTGTCTACTCTACCTACTTAAGGATACATTGACTTGAGTTTATCAAAATTATCTCTTATTTGAAGACGGCGTGGGTCTTTATTTGAACGAACTTGAATCACCTTCACCAATGGAATAAAGTTTGGCAATAATTGGCCATGTGAGAATTAAGAAGATGAAAATGTGAAAAGCGCCTCAGATGAGCTAAAAACCATCAGTATTGGCACATTCCTCTGTACGCTGCACCATCTCAAAATTCAGTTTAGAAGTACATATAGAGGAAGAGAAGGAATAGGAATTTGTAAATAAATCCTGATTTTATGCTAACCAGGTCCTTACTCACACGAACGTTATAAATATATATAAAAGCAAAGAAACTCTTACTACAACAGTATAAACATGTCCATGACTTATGGAATGACATTTTTCTCAAAAATTAAAATAGGTCATTCCTGTAATCTTGTTACAGTGTGTTGTACATGTACAGTATCAAGAAATCGTATAATAAGAATAATATGAAATTTCATTAAAAACAATTCCTAAATGCTGTTGAAATTCCTCCCACAGACATGGCAAGGAAACATAGCACAAATAGTCATTGGCTGTCCTGTGACCTATCCAAGTATCAAAATAATAATCAGGTTTTTACAATAATTATTGAACTAGCAGATCTAATAAATATTTCTGATTTTTTTAGCAACACTCAACCACCAACTCCAAAGCCTACGACCGTTGCATTGACACCTGCCCTGAAATAATGGACTAACAATTATTATGAAAAACGTCAGTCAGCATTTGACTCAATGATGATTTTTATTTGCTGACAAGGTCATTGTATCAACCGTTGTCTTATGAAATAATAACTTTAAACGAGACTTGATATTCTTGTTTCCTCAGCTTGTTTGTCAATAATTTACTCGAATGCAAAGTAAAATGAATGGTTCCCAGCGAGTAATATTCGCTAATAAAAGTAGGTCACAAAACTCGCTAACATTTCTTGCACTCAATATAAATTGGTTTAAAATATTCATTGAGACAATTCTTTTCTCTGAATAACATTTCTCTTTTCCTTTCTTTACTTTGGAGTTTAATTTGCATTTAAAATACTTTAACTTCGCCAAATGCTGAAATTCTAGGGCATGTGTTTCACAAACACATTTTTTCCCCATTTGAATTTTATATATTGGCAAAATTATTGAGGAGCTCTACAAGAAATAATCTTTCTTATCTATCATTTTTAGTTAAAAAAAATGAATATAGTGGCAAAATTATTGCCCCTCCTTTGCTAAGGGGTAAGAAATTTCATAAAAATAAAGGAGGGATAATATATTTTAAAAAATACTTTCAATGGTAAGTAAGATATTTTAAAGTACTGGGTATTTTAAATATTTTTTTAACTATTTACAATATTTCCAAGAATTTTATATTACATGCGTTGAGAGAGGTGTGCTTGGAAGCGAAGCAGGATAGATAGATAGATAGATAGATAGATAGATAGATAGATAGATAGGATAGAGAAAGGGGCTGACATTATGCATCCAACTAAGCACAAAAGAATGACAGAGAAGTGTGGATTTTTTTTCGTTCTGAACATTGGCTTTTAAAAAATAAATGTATATCATTCTTACAATTTTCTTGTCACGTTTTCGGGTTATTTCTTGAGATTTTCATCAATACAAGAATTTAAATTCGGGTGAAATAAAATTAAAATACAATTTTACCCATGTTTCGATTCATCATTCCTCTGACCGCATTTAGATTATTGCTTTTGCAATAGCTTACATGTTTTTTTTAATTTCTTCTTGAAGTAGTGTTGTCCTTGACTAAATACTGAGGATGCCATTTTATCTTTAAAAGA